CAAGCGTTCTGAACATGTTGCCTGTCAAACCATGCAGTCAGTAGTTAAATCATGAATGTACCCTTCAACTGCTGGGTCACAGCATAGTAGCATGGTGCTGTTTTGAGAAAGTACGACTGGGAATTGGTGGGCTTTTAAAGATAGTTACATTTATTTAGATGATCTATAAAACAAACCTTTATGAGTTCTGTGTTGGTGAAACAGGGGGTTTGCTCCTATTTTTTATGAAAGTTGCCTCTTTTTGAAAGTGTTGGTAATCCCAAGATTTGTTATTTCTTCCTTTTGTATAAGATAAAATACAAAAGGCAAGTAGTAAGTATAACAGAGAGCTGTACCTTTTCTTTCCAGTTAAAATTTTATTTGCAGGTCTGCTGTTGGCTGTAGCAGCTAAGCTAAAGAAAACCAACCCCAACAAAACCCCATACAGAAAACCCAACCAACCAAAAAACAGGTTAACTTCTTTGTTGGGTTTAAATTGCTAGAATAATTTGATGGCAGCCTCAGGGTGTTATTGCAGAGGTGGGCTTGTAGAACATCTGGGTCAAGTTTTCATTAGAGCAGAAAGGGTGAAGAGAAAAGGCTGATGGAAACTGATGCATATAAGATAATGGAACAAGCATGACAAACACTGTGCTTACTCCAGAAGATTTTCTGGGTTTCACAAGACTCGGGGTAGCTGATGCTATTGTTGGATTCTCTTGCTCTAATGAAGTCTGAATAGATTTGCTTTTGAAGGTCAGAGTAACCATCTGAAACAGAAAGATAATTTGTCCCTGTACTTGTTTGGTGACCCCTATATGAACATCTTACAGTAACACCATTAAAATTACTCAGTCCAGATGTGCTTCAGAGTTCAAAACTGTATATGCTTATGGCATCCTTTACTTCAGTATCTTATGAACTAATTACTGTAGCACAGGCTTTGCGGATGTTTATTGTGAGTTAAATAGAGTAGCTTGTACTAGTGGGTTTGTATCAGTCTTCAATCTTTTGCTTAAAACAGCGTTAATTCGAGAACCTGAATGACTTTAAGGAACAAAAAGAGACCACAATCTTTGGGCAACTCAGAACATTGTCCTCAGCAAACCTAACCTCACATTTGGACGTATTCTGTCTAGAAATGAGTTGCATAAGATCTGATAATGTATACATACATAAACAGATACATGTCTAGATACTTTTTGAAGGGTGTGAAAAGATCTTCAGTTACAATGATACAGAGATTTTAAATTGTAGATCCTTGCATACAGACGTGCCTGTTCTCATGCACAAAGATTTAATGAAGTTATTTCATATTTTGTTACTTTCTCATGCATCTCTAGTGCTGTTATGCCTCTTCTGTTCTCTCATCTCATATGTCATGCAAATGGTCAATTTAAGCTGAAATGTCTGCCAGCTCTGTCTTGGGATCACATCTTCTTGGAAGAAGAGCAAATTGCCAATGAAGTCACATTGTGGTTGCATTCGTATTGCCTAGTAGAGCCTTAAGGCTGCAATGCAGTGCCATATCTCTTCCCTTACACATGACCAAATAAAGTTGTTTGCTCCTTTATGAGGGATTTTTGTCTATTGCATTCGGTGTCAGTGCTGCTGCTTTACACATACGGAAAAATGAATTTTTAAGGGGTACGTTGGTTAACAAGAAAGATGCGTTCAAGGGAACAACTCAAGGATTCAGCTGGGGCAACTAGTGAGCTGAATTGGTTCTTAACTAGAAAATGGACTACTTGGTTCCTACCATGTTGTTGATTGTGTGCTGTTGCCTGTCTAGCTGCACAGTTTGGCTCAGCCTTTTGCTACCAGGGCTGCTTTTAAACCCCCAGGACACAGGAGAAAGTTGCTGAGCCAGCTGCCAACTGCCCACTGCTGCAGTGTGGGAAGCTCTTGCTGCTGCAGACCTTTGTGTTGCTTAGCAATGGAGATCTGACCGTGCATTTCTCAGCTGTGCTGGGGAGCAGGAGCAGCATTACTTCCAAGCCCTATGGGGAAAATGCATTTATCAGGCTGCAAGGGTGGGAGGCTGTTGCGAGGAGGAGCTGAGTCGGGCAAAGGATTCTGTTATCCCAGTACCTTTCGCAAGTACAGTATAGCTTGGGAGATTAATGGCATTTCTTTATCCAGACTGTGGTCTAGAAAACAAGAGGTAGGCTATTTCTTGTGTGCACTACAAGAAAATGCTATGACAGATAATTTTATGAATGACTTTGGGAAATTTTTATTAGATACTTTTGTCATCTGTCATTGTAACAGTTATTGGGCTGCCACAGCTGCTCTGACAATATCATCGACAGCAGAATACTTGTCATCCAATTAGCTTCATTTTCCTTTTGAAGCTCACATTATTGAGTGTCAGAGCTGTCAGACTTTGTGGGTCATATTTTTTTTTTTTTTTTT